ATCCCCTTAAAGCAGTAAAGGTAATTACACTAACACTACTATTTTACTATTCTATTCTACTATTAACTAATTAACCTATATAGCTATAGGAAACAGGCTTTATAAGTAGGTTCTTTTTATAGCTATAGGAAATAGCCTCTATAAGAAGCACTATTTTTATAGCTATAAAAATAGCCCCCCTATTAAGCTAGCTTCCTATAGCTATAAATATAGCCCTCTTATTAAGCTAGTTTCCTATAGCTATAAAGGTTAGCCTTCTTATTAAGCTAGTTTCCTATAGCTATAAAGGTTAGCCTTTCTATTAAGCCTACTTCTTATAGCTATAAAAAGAGCCTCCCTATAGAGCTAGTTTCTATAGCTATAAAGGTTAGCCTTCTTATTAAGCCTACTTCTTATAGCTATAAAAAGAGCCCTCTTATTAAGCCTACTTCCTATAGCTATAAAAAGAGCCTCCTTATAAAGCCTACTTCCTATAGTTATAAAAAAAGCCTCCTTATTAAGCCTACTTCCTATAGCTATAAAAGTTAGTCTTTTTACTAGGCTAGTTTTTTATTTACCTTAAGAAAAATAACTCTTTTTATATTTAAAAAGCTTACTACCTAGCTACTTTCTTATATTATAGTTATAAAAATTTATTATTATTACTAACTATTTTTTACTAACTTTATATCTTTTAAACACTAGGCTAAAGTAGCTATTTACTTATATAATTCTCTATTATTTTTCTTTTACTAAAAACACTAGACTAGCTTCTTATTTATTACTAGAATAAGGTTAAAATCTAGCTTTAACTTAGTTAATTTACCTCCTATATAGACCTATTTTTACTTTTAGGTAGGTAGCCTTACTTTTTACTACTTATACCTTAGCTATAACTTTTAGTAAAGGTTTAGCTAGCTAACTAGCCCTCTAGAGGTAAAGCTAGCTATAATAAAACTAGCTATACTATATTCTTTAGTTTACTATAGAAGAATACTATAATCTTTAGATTAAGGATTTAGTAGTAAAGATTAAAGGAAGATGTCTATTAAAAATACTACTAGAGATATACTTTTTATTTACTAAAAGCTACTAAATTAAGTATCTTAGTAAAGCTCTTATAGTAGTATAGAATACTAAGCTTAGTTAAAATAGTATAGTCTAAACTATATTCTTTAATAAGGTTAAGGAATAGTCTTTTACTAATAGGTATTACTTTTTTTATTAGCTAGTATTACTTCTTAATTAATACTAAACACTTTAAGAAAAGTAGTATATAAAGTTTACTAAAAGCTTAAGGTAAAGACCTATATACTCTTAGCCTTAAAGGACTTTATTCTTTATATATACTTACCTAAAGTATAGCTTTTAATTATTAATTATATCTTATATAATATTAATAAGTTAATATAAGTAATAAAGACTATTTAAAAGATAGCCTTTAATATTATTATTACTTAACTTTATACTAGAGGTAATATAAATACTAAAGTTTTAGTATTTTTAAATAAAGTAGTAAGCCTACTATACCCTTAAAGGTAAGTATATTATATAAAGGTACTAGAGGATTAGGCATTAGTTAATAAACTCTTTATAGAGCTTAGTCTAAGCTTTTTTAAAGATATACTTAGTCTTAGTAAAAATAACTAGCTTCTATATTATAAAGACCTTATAATATATATAAGTAAATAGCTTATTTACTAGTATATTAATATAAGCCTAGTCCTTGTTACTAAGCTAGGCTATTACTTATATTATTAGCTAATAAGCCTTATTATTAGACCTACTACTATTACTACTATAGGTATAGTCCTTAAGCTACTTTTACTTAGCCTTAAGTATAATATTAAAGTTAATATAGTAAATATAAAGTTATTACTAGATACTAAGGAACTACTTATTTAGTATAGCCTTTATTTATTTATTATAGTCTATAATTATAATAGTAAAGTAATAGACTAAGTGTTAGTTTATAAGTTAGTAGATACTAGCTAAAAAAAACTAAAAACTCTCTAGTCTTTTATTATTAATAAGGCTAAATATAGTATTATAAATAAATCTAAGGTAGGTCTACCTAGTAGCCTAGAAAAATAAAAGTTTAAAGTAATTAGTGTTATAGGTGTTATTAAAACTAATTACCTTAGGGAATTACTTTTATATTTAGAGGTAGTAAAAAAAGGTCTAGATAAGGCTAATAAGGTAGTCTAGCTTATTATTTACTTACTTTACTATATATAGGATATCTCTTTTATTAAATAGCTTAATTAAAGTAGTAGTTAGTAAATATCTACTTAGCTTCTCTTAGTTTATATAAGCTCTAGTATTATAAATATCTTATTAAGTAAATAAAGAATTTAAGAACTACTCTTAAATAATAGTATATATATTATATACTTAAATACTAAGTTATAGGCTTATTATATTAATTATATCTATTATAGACTAAGTAAGCCTATAATAAAATAGATATATAAATACCTTAAGGCTAAGGCTATAGTTATACTAACTATACTAAAGGTCTTAATAATAATATAATAGCTATTTTTCTTCTTTAAGAGCTTTTATAATAATTTACTATTTATAGCTATTCTTTTAAGACTTATACTATTAAATACTAGTACCTTTACTAGGCCTAGGCTTACTAAACTAATTATATTAGAAGGTATATTACTTAAATTAGCCTTTAGCTTTATATTTATTTTACTTTATAATACTAAACCTATTAGCTTTTATAAAGGTATTAACTTAATTAAAGAGGTTATTAATAGTTTTTCTAGGTTACTAGGAATTAGTAGATTTAGGATTTTACTTATAAGAGAAAAAAAGAATTAGTTACTTTAGGTGTAGTATAAGGCTATAGTTTAAAAAGATATATTACTTTAAGAAGAGGATTATTATTAAAGTAAATAAAGTAATAGATTACCTTAAGGACCTTATTATTTTAGCTACTAATAAATAAAGTCTTATTATTAGAGAAGTACTACTATAAGTTATTAATTAGTTCTAAAAGCTATTTAAGTAGTCCCTAGAGCCTATTAAGTAGTCCCTAAAGCCTCTTTAATAAGGTTAAAGGTAGTATTAAACTACTATATAGTAAGATAAAGAGATTACTAGGACTATTTATTTAAGAAGAAAAGGCTAAGCTTTAGTAAAAGTTATAGGAGAGTAGTCTATTAGGTCTTTATTATTTCTATAAAAAAGTAGTATATAAGTAAAGTATTAGCTTTAGACTAAGGTAATATAGTTTATAGTATAAAAAAGGTTATATATTATATAAGATATTAGCTAGAACCTTAGTAATAAGGTTATACTACTCCTAAGGGTCTCTAACTTTATAGGATTAGCTAACACTAAGATAGCTAGCCTCTAAGGAAGAGGATAATAAGGGGTTACTAGATAATAGTAGTAGTTCTTAGTAATTAGTTACTTCTAGGTCTTAAAAGATATAGCCTATACTAAGAAAGTAAATAGGTTAAGTTTTATATAATAGGCCACCTTATAAAGCTATAGTAGGTAAATAGTAGTATAAATAAAATAAAGTTTAGATAAATAAGGTAGTAAGGAAAGTAAAAAGAAGTAGTAACCTTATATAGATCTAGTAGAATTTAATTATACTAATAATATTTTTTTAGACTAATAGGAGGCATAGAAAGTAGTGCCTAGATAAGAGTAGTGCCTATATATTAATTTATAGCGCCTATATATTAATTCCTATTATATATATTATTTTTTAAAAAAAAGATAAAAAACTTAAAATCTTATAATTATTATAAAACTTATATATTTCCTAAAGTAGTAATTAGTAGGGCTAATAAGTTACTTACTTAAATAGGAAAGGCTTATAAAATCCTAGTGTTTTTATACTTTTTTCTTACTTATGCACTTCTACCTTACTATTATTTTTATACTTTCTTCTTACTTATATACTTCTACCTTACTATTGTTTTTATACTTTCTTCTTACTTATATACTTCTACTTTACTATATATACAAGGTAGTAATACATAAAGACCTACATTAGAACTAGAAAGAATCAGGTTTTCTAACTAGACTAAAGGTAAATATTTATCCCCTTTTATTTCTAAGAATTCTAAGAAAAAAAAAGAAGAAGAAGAAGAAGAATATCTATATATACTCCTTAAATCCTCCTTTTATTTTAGATAGTCCTTAGAATAAGAAATTATACCTTTTTCTATATATTAGATATAATAAATTCTTTTACTTCTTTAGCTAGTTTACTAGTAATAGACCTTACTACTTAATAAGTTATTATTTAAATAATAGCTTAGCACTTTCCTTAAGGTCTTTCTTAAGCCCCTCCTAGCTATATCTCTCCTAAAGAGGTACTACTAGATTCTCCTTCTTAAGAGCTTTCTAATAATACTACTTTTGCCTCTATTAACCTTTTTTCTAAATTTATAGAGTATCTAGAAGATATTCTATCTTCTTTTACCCCCTAAGAAGATACTTTAACCCCTTCTACCTAGCTTCTAGCTCTAGAAGAAAGCTTTTAGCCTTCCTTTGTACCTTAGTTAGTAAGTAATAATTATTATAGTATTTATATATATATATATTAATTAGTTATTATAGGGGGTATTAAAGAAGTATACTTGTTCTTTTTATAAGACTTCTTATAAGTCTAAGAGGTCTTATGTATCCTATATACGTTAGTTTAAGCAGAAAGAAGAAAAGTGTTCTAGAAAATAGGCCTAGTATATAGTTAGTATATAGATATATATACTATATATTTTTCTTAAATATTTTACTTATATATTTAAACTTATTATCTAATTAAATAGTTATAAGTAAGTAGTATAAGTTAAGAAATTACCTTAAAAAGGTCTTATAGTTATAGTAAGTAGTTATATAATAATTAAAAGAATATTAAGAATATTACTTTATATAAATAATAAGCTAGTTTAAAAAAAGTAGATATTTTTAAAAGAAAAGTACCCTAAAAAAGGTCTTATAGTTATAGTAAGTAGTTATATAATACTTAAAAAGATATTAAGAATATTATACTATATAAGTAAAAGGTTAGTAAAAGAAAAGTAAATATCTTAAGAAAAAGTACCCTAGAAAAGGTCTTATACTTATAGTAAATAGTTATATTATACTTCAAAAGATATTAAGAATACTATACTATATAAGTAAAAAGTTAATTAAGTAAAAGTAAATATTCTAAAAAAAGTACTCTAGAAAAGGTCTTATACTTATAGTAAATAGTTATATTATACTTAAAAAGATATTAAGAATACTATACTATATAAGTAAAAAGTTAATTAAGTAAAAGTAAATATTCTAAATAAAGTACCCTAAAAAAGGTCTTATAGTTATAGTAAGTAGTTATATAATACTTAAAAAGATATTAATAATACTATACTATATTATATATAAGTAAAAGGTTAGTTAAGTAAAAGTAAATAATCTAAAAAGAAGTACCCTAGAAAAAAGTCTAAAAGTTATATAGAGTATATAATATTAATACTTAAGAAGCTCTTATATAACTAATTTATAATATAAATAATCTAATAAGTAAGTTATAACTTTAAATTATAAGTATCTTTAAAGAACTATAAACTCTATATTTATATACTATACTAATAATATATATACTTATAAGTTTATTTATATAGTTTATAGTTATATCTTATAATTATATTCTATAGTTATACTTTATAGTTATACTTTATATTTATACTTTATAGTTATACTTAATAATTATAGTTTATAATTATATCTTATAGATTATAGTTTATAGTTATACTCTATACTTATAGACTATAAGTAATAGTTTATAAGTTATAGTTTTTACTTATAGTTTATAGTTATACTTTATAGTTATACTTTATAATTATAGTTTATAGTTATACTTTATAGTTATAGTTATAGTTTTATCTTATAGTTATATCTTATAGTTATACTTTATTAGTTATATACTTTATTATATAGTAAATAATTATAATAAAATAACTATATATACTATCTTTTTCTCTTTTTAATTCTTTATTTTATCTTTACTATTAACTATATTTTACTTAACTTATAACACTATATACTATATTACCTATATATACTATAAAATATAACCTTAAGAAAGACTACTTACTATATTATATTATAACTATTACTTTAAAATAACTTATTAAAATTATAAAACTATATTTTATATTTTATTATTAAATATATCTAAAAGAAATAGTAGCATCTAATAATTCTTATTCTTTTTATAAGAGCTCTTCTAATATAATAGATAGTAAAGCTTCTTCTTAAGTTATAGTAAACTCTTTAACTAATAAAATAAAAGAAAAGAAATCAATATATAGATATATTAGAGAATAGTCTTAGTTATACTATTAAGCCTACTAATTCTTATATTATAGTAAATAAGCTATTTATTTATAATTTAAGTACTATTAACTATAGTAGACCTAGGGAAATTATATATAAATATAATATACCTAACTATAACTTTAGCTTTAAAACTAAGGCTAAAAGATTTTAAGCTAGCTAAGGCTAAGTATATTATAAACAAAAACATCCTAGTATAATTATTAAAGAAGAAGAAGAAGAAGATCCTTCTAAAATATCTAGTAAGTTATATATATATATATATATATTATTTTATTTATTAGGTATTATTCTTTTAAAGATATTAACTAACTCTTTAACTCTCTATAGTTAAAAACTAGATTAATAGTAGAAATAATAGAATAAGTTAAGTAAATATTAATAACTTTATAAGTAATACTTCTATAAATAGTAACTTTAAAAGACCTTGGCTTTTAAATACTATTTTTAAACTAGAGACAGCAGTTATTAACTATATTAAGTTTTTAATTAATAATAACTTACCTTTTTATCTTATTACTTCTAATAACTTTAATAATTTATTAGAATATTTTAATCTATAAGTTAATCTTTAAAAATAATATTCTATAGCTTATAATAGTATTTAACTAACTATATTTATTATATTTTAGTAATAGTCCTAAGTTATACTATAGTAAAGTAATAAGTAGTATTAATACTTTATTTAATACTACTAAAGATACTGTATTATTTTACTTAAGTAATTACTTTAATAACTATAGTTATATATCTTTACAACTAGATATATAGACTTCTATAGACTCTAAGAGCTACCTAGGCATTATAGGTACCTTTATTAATAGTGACTTTATATTAGACTATAAAATCCTAGGTATTTAACTTTTTATTATTTAATTACTAATATATTATATTAAGAGTATATATACTAATAATATTAATAGGCTTTAAGGCTCTAGATAGTGTATATACTAGTGTATATCTTAGTAAAGTATTTAAGTCTAATATTATAGAAGGTTATAATATTCCTTTTAGTAGAGTTATAAGGTAAGTATTAGATTATTAAATTATATATAAATAATAAACTAGTAACTAACTTATTATAGCTTTACTAGAGATAATAGCTATAATAATAATACCTTTTTATCTAATATTATTAATAATTATAAGTTATCTTATAATAATAATATATTTAATATTAGGTGTACTATATATATATTTAATATTATTACTAAAGATATTATTAATACCTTTATTAATACTTCTACTAAAGATACTATTATTAAAGAGTTTAAGAATATTACTATTATTAACAATTATAATAGAGAAATTAGAGAATTAAATACTATAGAAAAAGAAAAAGTCTTAAAGGTAAATACTAGTAAGTCTATTACTTTTTTAATAATAGCTTATTAATAATAGTAATAATTTAATAAATACTAATTATTATTTCTATGATATTAGGTATTATAGGCGCTATTAAAAGAATAGCTATATTACTTAAAAATAATACTAGCTTATATAAAGAATTTTTATAAGCTATTAAGTATAATAAAGAGCTTAAAGATCCTACTATACCTTATAACTATAATAAAACTAAAATACCTCTTTATAAGTTTATAAAATAAGTTATAAATTATATTAATATTATTATATTTATATATAAACTAATAATTTAATAGGTAATAATACTAGATAAAATTCTATATATATAATTATTAGTACTACTTTAGAATTAAAGCTAGCCTTAATTACCCTAGGGTCTAGTACTAAAAGCCCTATATTTAAAGCTATAATTCTAAGAAACTAGTTATAACTATAGTATATTAAGGATTTATTAGAAGCTCTTTATGCCCCTACTATATAAATATAATATTAAACCTTTACTACTATAGATAACCTATTATTTTAGGTTACTAATATTAATTTAACTTTAGAAAGGGAGTTAAATTACTATAAAGAACAGTAAAAGCCTATAGTAGGAGACTTAGTAAGTTATTAATCTTTTATATTAATATAATAAACTACTATAAATATCTTTAAGTTTATTATTAAAGATAATTATTAAATATTAATTTAATTTTACTAAATTTACTAATATATTTTATAAAGTAATAAACTATAAGACCCTTATACTAAGCACTTTATAGATACTATAGAAAAAAGAAAAAATAAGCTTAATACTTATTTTTCTTTACCTATTATATATACTAATTATCCTAAATTTAAGCCTTATATTTTAGGTTCTATTTTAGAACCTAAGTAGAATATATAATAGTTTTTTAATAATACTTATTTAAAGGCTTATTTACCTTCTTAGCTAGAGGTAAAAGTAAAAGAAGATCTTAAAGAAGAATATAATAAGTAAGTAACTTAACTATAATAACTATATTAATATACTTCTAGTTATAATATACTAATTTATTATTTCTATATTTTAGGCTAAAACTAAAGATTATTAAAGATCTAGAAAAAAATAATAAAGAAGAGTTATATATTCCTAGTTTAAATAAAACTATTAAAATTAAGAATAATAACTATAACTCTAATTCTTCTTCTAATCTTCCTACTAGTAGTACTAGTAAAAAAGTAGATAGATTTACTATAGATTTATCTAAGCCTAGAGAAGGACCTATAGGTAAAAATAAATTAAAAATACTTATTCCTAAGCCTAAGCCTAAGGAATTTAAGGAGTTTTACCCTATATAAAGTAAACAACAAGTAGCTAAAATAAGAGAAAATAAATTAGAAGATTATTATTCTTTATCCCCTATAGGAAACAAAGTAAGTAAGACTTCTAATATATTTAACTAGTTTTAAAAACTATAAAAGATTTATTTATAGACTATAACTATAATATCTTTAAAATAATTTAATATTATAATATATAGTATATACTAACTATTATTTAGGTAAATTCTTTAGAGTAGTAAAAGAATAATATAGAGAAATTTCCTATTTTATCTATATTAGTAAGAAAATACTTAGCTATACCTCCTACTTCTACTACAGTAGAAAGTAGTTTTAACTAGTCTAGTAATATTATTACTAAAAGAAGAACTAATTTAATAAATAATACTAGAAACAAATTAATGCTTTTAGAAGGCTAGCAATAATCTAGTAATTTAGAGGGCTTAGATAGCTCTTTCTATATACCTAAGATATATAGTAGTTTATTTAATATAGGCTTTAAATACTTATCTAAAGAAGAAGGGAGTATTATAGAAGAAGAAGTAAAAGATAAAGAAATAGAAGATTTTAAAGAAGTAGAAGAGATAAAAGAGGATTCTAGTTATTAAGAGCTATTTATTATATAGTTAGTTATTATATAGTTAGTTATTATATAGTTAGTTATTATATAGTTAGTTATTATATAGTTAGTTATTATATAGTTAGTTATTATATAGTTAGTTATTATATAGTTAGTTATTATATAGTTAGTTATTATATAGTTAGCTATTAAAAGCTATTTATTATATAGTTAGTTATTATATAGTTAAGTATTAAAAGCTATTTATTATATAGTTAGTTATTATATAGTTAGTTATTATATAGTTAGTTATTATATAGTAAGTTATTATATAGTTAAGTATTAAATACTATTTATTATATAGTTAGTTATTATATAGTTAAGTATTAAAAGCTATTTATTATATAGTTAGTTATTAACTTATTATATAGTTAGGTATTAAAAGCTATTTGTTATATAGTTAGTTATTATATAGTTAGTTATTAAAAGTTATTTATTATATAGTTAGCTATTAAAAGCTATTTATTATATAGTTAGTTACTATATAGTTAGTTATTATATAGTTAGTTATTATATAGTTAGTTATTATATAGTTAGTTATTATATAGTTAGGTATTAAAAGCTATTTATTATATAGTTAGGTATTAAAAGCTATTTATTATATAGTTAGTTATTATATAGTTAGTTATTATATAGTTAGTTATTATATAGTTGGTTATTATATAGTTAGTTATTATATAGTTAGCTATTAAAAGCTATTTATTATATAGTTAGTTACTATATAGTTAGTTATTATATAGTTAGTTATTATATAGTTAGTTATTAATAGTAACTTTAGTATAGTTATAGTATATTAATATATTATACTTTAAGTAATATATAGTTATTTTATCTTTATTACTTGTATAGTAGTAAATACTTATAAATAATACTTAATAAACTTTACTAAATCTTAGTTTTTAAGTATACTATATTTTAAATAAAATATATAAATAATACTATACTATAAAAGAAGGTTAATAGTACTATATATAATTAATTTACTACTTTTTAATTATTTTTATTTTTTATATTGTATAGTTGTATATTATATAAAATACAATATAGATACAATATAATATAAATATAAATACATGTATTATCTTTCCTATATAATATAATACAAATATATGTATTGTATTTATATTATATTTTTGTATTATATTATATTTTGTACTTTTTTTAAACTCTCTGACTATATATCTAGGTTCTTTAGTAAAGAACTAGTATCCTTAGGCTAAAAGTATTAACTAATACCCTAAGAGCTATAAACTAATATATAGTATCTTTAAACCTTTTTTCCTTCTTTAGTCTAAGCTCTTTAGTAAAATTATGTACTAAGTAACTATTAAGGCCTTTCTTTTTCTTTATTCTAAAACCTTTATCCTCTATAAACCTTTTTAAAGCTTAAAATATATTACTATTTTCTTAGTATAACTCCTTTAGGTTATACTACTCTTTTTAAAACTTATATTAATATAAGTAAGTATATATTTATATAGGTACTATATTAGCCTCTATAGACCTTTTAGTAACTTTACCTTAGACTTTAGTAAAGTTAACTAGGCTAGACCTATTTTAACCTATAAGCTTTTATATAAGGCCTTTAGGCTACTATAGAGTATCTTATATATA